TTCACACTACACGTCAGTCGTTTTTTTCGAAAAATAACAAAAATTAAAACTTTTACGAAGCTTTATATTTCAATCGTTGAAATAATGTTCACAATAGCCCCTCATTACTCTATGTTTGTATTGCGCATCAGAAAACTATGAGACATTCTCTGTCGAATAAAAATGTAGAAGTCTCTTTTTTTTTCTTCACTATTATCACATAATGCTATGAAAATTCGACAAATGGAATTTGTTTTCGTTGTTTCTTTGGATATTTGTTACGCGAGGAGGAAACATATCTTCATTTACTATCCAATCGCTAACTGTCAAGATATATTTAAGAAGATATACCTCATCTTCATTCACTCGAAGAATAATGCAGTATTAACTTCGCATTAAATCGATGTGCGTCTCCACTTATAAGTTAATGTATCGGTTAGAATTGTGAATCATTAGCTCGATACTACAAGATCTCATAGTTTATATTTTGTATTTTCTTTTATTTATAGAAAATAATGGACACAAGATTCACCGAAATTTACAATAAACATAAAGATAAAATCAAACAAAATGTTGATTTACTTTACTTATTCACCAATTGGTATATTCAATCGAGAAACTTTGATTTGTTAATCGATGATAAAGTAAGAAAATAATATTTTTCTTTATTAATTGCTTTTTATTTTTTAATAAAGAAAGTCAAAATACTTGATAATTTGAAGATGAAAAGTATCGACTTTCCAATTAAATTAGTTAATGATAAAGATTTCGTGATGTTGATGATGTTATCTTCCGACGACGATACATTTTATGCTTATTTTGAAGTATAAACTGTTTTAATCTAGATTTGCAACTGGATTAACATTCCTAATTCTAGGGATCAAATCAAAATTCAAAAACGGTTCCAATAATGCTCAAGGCACATCTTTACAAGAATAACTTAGTGTAATTAATATTTTTCTATTTCCTTTTCAATTATTTGATTCTTTTAATGTCTATTTAGCGATATTGATGGCACAATTAGCATTGTGCAGCAATTCGATGATGCTATTGAACAGATACAGAAGATAGAATAAAGTAAAAATTAATCTATATATTCTTACATTTTTGGTATTTGCAGTTAGATTCATTATGTATCACGACTTAATGGATTTTTCTCTATGAAAGTGTTTTTCATTAATATGATAGCATCTGATGTTATCTTCATTATGTCATGATAATATTCTATCCTATAGTTAATTTTTTTTAAACGTTATAACATACAGAATAAAAAATATAAAACCAAAAATTCGTCAGCAAGATATTTGACACATATTAAAAAGTTGTAGTGAGAAAACTTTCAGATAAGAGCAAGATTTCACCTCAGTTTGGAGTATTTATTATAGAAATGATTATCGAAATTGATTATGCGAATGAACAATGCATGTAGACATCATGACAATCTTCTGTCAATTATAACAAGGTGTGTTAAATAATGATTTTATTTATTGAATTGTATAAAAGAAAACAATGATTATTATTTTACATACGGAAAGTAAACATGAAAATCTTTTGATCGATTCGATTGTTTCGCAGTAAAAAAGCGATCGACTTTAGTACAATTGACTCGTGTCGCGTCTCTTGTAAAATTACGAGTAATTCTCTGCAATTTGTCATAGTCCATTACCAAAAAGATAAAATTTGAAAAACACGTTTTGATATCAAGTAAAAATTCTTCAGCATAATCATCATGAATATTGATAAGTCGTAGTATAGTAAGATGAGAATATTTGATAATTGCAAAAGATTCACTATCGCCGTTTAGTTTCTGATTTTGTGCTTTACAATTACTTACAATCAATTCGTTAAGAAACGGAAATGCTTGAGCAATTTGCATAAAAAATGTATGCTCAAAAGGACGCTCATCAAATAAGGTTGCAATTCGAACATGTTTTAATACTCCACCTGGAAAGTTATTGGTAATATTGTCATAATATTGCCTGGTATGTGGATATGTATAAAAATGACATTGACCAGTTTTATTACTTGGAAAATAGTCTACACACGAAATAACTTGATGATCACTTAAACTTGTCAATGTACGCTGAATATCTTCATTTGATAGTAAATGTATTTGATCATTAATTAAAATGCTCGATCGAATATTAAATGTGAATTCATTTAAATTAGGCATATGAACAATAATATTCTTTTCTAAATTAGTTCCATCGATAAATCTTACTTTACATTTAATGTCAAGATGCAAAGATAGCTTTTCTAAATTTAACATTCGACGTAAATTTGGCACAATCACTTCATCATAAACATATGTTTCACTATTACTGGTCAATGAAAAACATTTCAAATTAGCTAACTTATTCTAGAAAAATTCATTAGTGTTTTAAGTAAATACTTTTTTCTTCCTTGAATAGTTTACCTTAGTGTTGATAGTTGATCGGAGAGGAAGAATATGACAAACATTAATAAACAATATGCGCAATTGATCGAGGCGACCATCGAGTAGATAAAGACAATCATCAAAAAGATACACATCTATATATAATTCCACCAGAGTTGAAGAAAACGATGAACATGGTTCTTTAAATAATATAGATGAACTTGACTCATAGAATTTCAAATGAAGAATATTAGTAAATATAATCAAGATATATGAAAATAGATTTGCCCGTTCATTCATTGTTATTGCATCATGAATATCTTTCTTAGTAGTCAGAGACAATGTCACAATCTGATTTTGGAATATATGATATAGAGAAGATTTATCTGAAACATTAAAAAAAAATTATTTTAACTCTATCAGCTATCTTATTATCGATGAAAATGATAGCTTATTCATATTATGAACTGCAGACCGTTTTCGTCAAAATCTATCATTATGCTTTATGCTTACATGAAGTTTTCTTTTTATGATAGAGTGAATTATTTTCGTTATATTAAGAATGTAGAATAGGTTATTCTCTTTCGATAATCGAAGAAAAATTGATTATTAATGATTTCTCAGAACATCTGTAGCAGAATTCTTCTCATTAGTAAACAAGCTGAGAAAGATTTTTATTAACTTCTTCTCCATACAATTTAATGAAAGTGGGTCAATACTTTTTGGAGTGGATGATTAAAAGAATTAAAGCTAGATTTCCTACCAGTTAAATGAAAAAAACATTTCTGATCATTGATAAAAATGTCAAGTTGACGTAAATTGGGATAGTCAGCAGCAAGAAGAACACGTTCCATAGATGATGATTCCAGACTGAACCACTTGATGTTATGATGGATTTTAGGCAATATTTGCAAACAAAATCGATCCAGCATTATATCAGGTAGTGCTATCATAAGATCAGCAGATTTCGTTAAAGTTATTTTAGTAGTAAACATGAGATCGTGCACAATTTGATTTAGACGCGTGTTAACATCCATTAAAGAATAAAGTACTTCACTATTGTCCAACTTGTTTAAAATAATCATAATTAATTCGTCAGGTAAATCCATTAATTGAACAATTGAATGTTCCATATTTATTTTCACCTAAAATCCTTCGTAGTTTATGAATGTCAATACACATGCACTTTTCTTTGATGTGACCAGCACTCCGAATGATAATTTGAACTATAGTGGGATCCCGGACTTTTTTCAGCAGGTGAAGTGAAATGGTGCACACCGTTTCAAAAACGAAAGTGCAAATATATAAATGCGTCTAGGAAAAAGAAATAATAGTTTACATTTCATACTCTAGACTCCCATGTGCATATGTACATCATGAAAACACAAGATTAAAAGAACTAAATCAGTGATGAAGACTATCTGTACATCTCGATATTCATTTTAGTTCACCAAAAATAAATATAATTCCGAAGCAAAGCTGTGCGAGATGTTAACAATTGGAAATCGAATAATTTTTCAAAAACTTCTATAAATTACAGAAATTTTGAACAAAAGAAAATTGGCAAATTTGTTGAAAATTTTAGAGATCTTTCAAAAGCGTTGAGCCAAAAGAAAAATTTCTAGAAGTTAATGATTCCCTCGCTCACGACAACTGCTTCTCGGAGTCATTTGATTGTTAGTGTTATTTGAGCTTTCTTTTGATTGATCAAATAATGATCTTGTTGATTAAATTAAAAGCTTTTCTATAGATGTTGTTTGAGTGTCTGAATGGCTGTTCTTTGCTCATTATCTGAAATAAGAATGAGAAAAAATTATTTGCTTGAATCAAAGAGGATAATAAATAAGAAAATTCATTGTAAAGATGAAACTATCAATATAAATAAAAATATAAAATAAAGTGAAAAATGTTTTAGTAGAGTGCAGCGCGTTCATTCTATTTTTTCCAGTGTAGTGCAAAATAGTGCAAATCAAAATAAGTGGGTGGCTCACTCATCGTTCGGAATCGGAACACTGAATGTGACAGCTACCGTCAATGAAATATAATGCTGTTTTCCCTGTTAGTTGAAATCGACTATGAACCAATGAACAATATTCTTTCTCTTTTCTAGTACGTTGTCTGGCAAAAAAAATGAAACTAGAATCACCAAAATTGACTGCATGATGCAGTACCAGTGACGACATCTAGTTCACATGTTCACATCCGAAAAAAACATTATTATAGAAATACTTTATAATAAGTTCTCTTTTAATCCGTATACTTTATTTTCACCTAAAGTGAGTTTCACGCGGAAGATGTCCCTACACTACGCTTTTCGAAGTAGTTTCATAGCGATAAAGAGGAGTTTTTGTCATAATGATCAAGTGTATAAGGGGATCGTTGTAAATAGTATGCTGGCTTTTCACTGGTACACTGTCATCAATATTTTTAATGAATGAGAGTACCCAGCAAACAACAGGTATGGTTCCCTAATAAAACAATATTTACACTCCGGTAGATGAAGGTTGAAATAAAATTCATGATTAGTTAGTCATTTCAACCAATAGGATTTATTGTAATTGAAGATGTATGAAAACTTGCAGAGAGGCGAAAAAACATTTCAGGTACAAAATCAAATAGTAAAACCGGATTGAGTTGAA